TATGCCTGGGCAAACATACTGCCATCTACACGTTCAAATAAAAAAAAAGATCAGTTGTTAGCGCTTGTCCTGTGTAGTCCTTCCTTTTTAAAGCGCAGCCCTTAGGCGCCCGTTTCCGGCTTGAGCGGCGTCGGCGTCGCCGTCGCCGTCACCGTCGGCGTTACTGTAATGCGTCAGCGTCGCCGTCGGTGTAACCATAACGCGTCGGCGTCACCGTAACACGTCGGCGTAACGCGTCGGCGTGACGCTTCGGCATCGCCGTCGGGGTAACCGTAAGGCGTCGGCGTAATGCGTTGGCGTAACCGTAACGTTTCGGCGTAACGCGTCCCCGTCGCCGTCGGTTTAACCGCGCGGTGCATTATGGGACGTTTCCCATAATGCACGGCGTGGGAAGGAGGAGTGAAGAGGAATGGGAGAAGGGTGAGGCTGGAGGAGGGGGAGGAGTATGGAGGAGGGAGGAGAAGAAAGAGGGACAAGGAAGAGGGGAGGAGGAGGGGGAGGTAAAAAGAGAAGGAGGAGGAGAAGAGGGAAGGAGGCGAGGAGCACGGAAGGAGTAGATGAGGAGAGGGTACGGATGAGGAGGAGGGCATACCGTCCCCCCGTGCCCTCCCCTCCTCCTTCTCAAGAGCTGCGCTCTAATTCGGCATTACAGGGAGTTCGAACCACTGCGCCGTAGTTGAACCATTGGGTGTCACTTTTACGGTTCATGGCAACTTTGTGTAGAAGCAACTTTGGTGGTGTAAACTATATGCTGCTGAAAGTAATCACCCAGTATAGAGGCCACCCCAATAGCAGCTCATACGACGGAAATGCAAGGAGTATATATGTGTGACCGTGTGTTATAGCGATGATGACTCAGGATTGGGTCGCTGTTATACGCAGGCATAGACGACATCGTAATTTTCGGAGGAGGCATGTACCAAGTATGTATGTTTTGTACTTGTACACCCTTGAACATGCGTGAAGACACGTTTTTATGACCAGCGTGACGGGGCCGTTAACCGAGTAAGAAAGACTCCCCAGGCAGTGCCTGAAAACCGATTTGTTTTTAAATATTTAATAACGGTGTGGTCACGCCTTTGGAAGCATATTGTGCAAAAGCTGACGCACAAAATGTCTAGACGAAGGGACAAAAGTGGAACCGTACAGCCGTTGTACTATGGTGCCTGGAACGCGTCTCCGACTGGTATGTTCACCACGTCCAATAAACTGGTCCCTTGATTTCCGCCTGATGACGTCATAGAAGTGTCATGCTGTCGCCGGTCGCGACCCTGGTGCTGTCTCAGCAGCTGTGGTGGATGTGGCAGACGCCTGTTCTGCTGCAGGTCGCTCTTCACCTCTAGAGTGCACGGAAGCTACAGCAGCAGGAAGTTGGGACGTCCGGGACGCCGTGACGACAGCGACACTCGTGTTCGCTCGTGCTTTTTGCCAACAATTCTACGACCAGCCGCCAGGGTCGCGACAGGCTACAGCATGACATTGCGGCTTCTGTGACGTCATTTGTAGCCACTTTGGGACCACTTTTGTTGTATGGGCGGGATAGGACGCTATACAAACCAGTCGGAGACGTGCTCCAGGCACCATAGTGGTACCAGGCATGTACAATGTTAAGCCAGCTCAACAGGGCCTTCTTTTTTTTTTCCTTTGCCCTTTAACCTATCGGGTCTGGTGACACGCAAGAACACCAAACGCTCACTTCATGCGCACGTGTAAAACAACATTTTTAAGAACATTTACTCTACGTTTAAGGGTCACCATCAGGGGTGGATTCGTGACACGCTGCCCCGATCTGTTTCGTTGACCTAATAGTTGTGTCACTAAATGGTAATAATTTGTTCCTAAAAAAAGCTGGTGTATGTAAGTGTTTATTCAAATAAATTTGACATTAAGAGCCTTAAGGGGGGGGGGGGGCGCCCCTTAAATCCGTTTATGGTCACCATCGGTTCACAATAAAAAGTTTTTGAGCATACGCGCCTACGGAAGCTTACTTGTAATGGAGAAAGAAAGCAAAAGCTACCTTCTTCTGTGGGTAAATAAAAATTGGTGTTTGTTCTGATAGTCAGATCACATCACTAAAAAAGTGAGAGCTAAAAAAAAAAAAAAAAGCTGCAACGTCTGGTGCACTTTGAGCTCGCGCGCGCAACAAAAACACCGCCGAAGGCATGAAGGGCGTGCTGAAGGCCGGTTGTTCGAAAGATACGCCCTGCCGTTCTTACTCTATCAGTGCCTATAGGCCCATAAGTAAACATAGTGTTTTACATGTCTCTCGAACAAAAACTTCGACTTACCCATCAATGCGAGAGCCCGGTCCAGCTCCTCCCGCAAGATTTCGAGCGTCTGGCGCACGCCTGCTTCACCCTGCGGGTGTTAGTACAAGCATCAGGAATTCTACTCTCACCAGGTGATTCCAGATATATACGTAAATATAACAGGCAGCCTAGAAATGAGTGGGATTCCTAACTTAAAATTAACATTATATGCGAAGACTGGGGAAGAACGAAAGAGCTACAAAGGTGTCGAGTATAAAATATTACCGATGCCGTAGGTGCAGGAACTTGGGTAGGCTTATACATCCAATTCCAAGCCAAAATGGATATCTAGAAAAGTTTAATTCTGAACTTGACACAGAAAAAAATAAATCAAACTCCAGACTACGGACGACGAAAACGTATTTTGCTTGTAACATCATTCCTATTGCCGTGCGTGGAGAGCATGTTCGCGTACCTTGTCGGTCTGATCTCACGTCTGATCTCTGTAGCCTTAAGATTATGAAGCAACAAAATGCGACGTCTTACGTTGTACGCCAGCCCCCAGAGGGCTGGGCGTCCAATAAATACTGCCTTGGCTCCGAGTGCCAGCGCCTTGACCACGTCAGTGCCTCGACGAACTCCGCCGTCAAGGTAGATCTCGACGCGGCCACGGACCGCACTCACTATATCGGGGAGTGCTTCGATCTGCAAGCAAGCGAGACAAGGGCGGATGTCACATTGAACAGTAATTGTGCTGCGTGTATGTTTAGACGGCGTGAAGTTAGTAAGTTATTAAAAGAATTTTCCCGTCTAAACCGGAAGTACTCAAGTTTTTGCGCTCGTTAGGTCTGGGGAGCCTTCATATAGACAAACGTCACTTTTGTTGTAATATATATATTGTTAAGATATTAATTAAATTAGTCATGAGCGTGTGTACGAAACTGCACCCCGAATTTCGCCGGCGTCAGGGGCTGACATCCTGCCATTACGCGTGACGTAACATCATGCATGGAATCGTCGGCTACGCAGGCACTTCATGTACGCGGGGGTTGGAATACATTCTGCGATGGATGTTTTCTATTTTGTTTCTTCTTATACTCTATTTTAGGTTGTTGTCGGTTTAATTGCGTTTCTTCTCATAGCAAAAAAGAAAAAAGAAAAACAACAAAAAACGCGACTTTTATTGAGATATTATTCCCAGGCGGCCATGAGCTTGGAGCAACTATCCGTGCGTTCCTCGGATTGACATGTCATTCTTTGCAAAGAGTTACCACACCTTTGCGAAGATGATTCCGGAGGCTGTCTATGTTTCTGACGGTATCTGTAACCGAGCATCGCCATGAATAGTAAAGATAATCCGTAATTCGAAGTAGGGCTGGGCAATTGATCGATTAACCTTCCGATTAATCGATTAATGCTTTAATCGCGATCAATTTTTTTAACCAGTTAATCGGTTAAAATGAGGCGAACCAAAGTAAATAAAATTACGTTTTTTTCCTTTCTCCTGCTGCCGTTCCCTCTAAAACGAACATACAAACTTGCTCCTCGTTCACCTCGTAGGTAACACCCAACAAACAAATCATTCGTCGTGAGTCGCGCGGGATTGGAAGAAAAAAGCGAAAACAGAAGCAGAATGAAAGCAGGCTTTACGGAAGTCCGGTGACCTCGGTCATGAATTTGGACGTTATAGCTACGCGCTCTTTTTGAGCACACGCAGCAGCTTTTTTTTTTTTTTTTTTTTTTTGAAGGCACGCAAGCATGTTGGCTTACGGATTTGCAGCGACAAAGCTAGAGCTCTTCCGAAGGCTGCCTTGACCCCCATTGTGGGTTATGCTCCGTCCTTGCGGTCGCTACAACGTGACCTCGCTCGTCTCTCCGCTCGTTCAGCGTGGTGCAAAGCCGGCCGTGGTCGTGGCTTGCTTCAGTATTCGACCCTGTGTTTTATTTGTGTGGTTGGAATTTCTCTCTCAGCGTCGCCTTTGCCTCTTGACGCAACGACCTTGGCGGACCTGCAATGCCCGTGGCAAAGTGCTTCCAGATGTTCCCCCGTTCTCTCGTCGTCTTTGACGAGTTGGCGCCGCGCGCAGCCGGATGGGCTCGTTTCCCTTTTCTCCGTAAAAAGGGGCCTTTCCTTCGCCGGGGATTTTCTGTTTGTTGAAAGCTTCAAGGACGTCGTGGAATTAGAGCGTGCGGGTAAAGTTACATGAACGACGAAGATGTTTCATCCTGTTTTTGTCCTTCATGTACTACTCCTATAACACCTTCAGGGACGTCCTCGACGGATCGACGCTCCCCAATTATCCCCGTCTCCCTTGCCCCCGTCTTTCCTCTTCCCTTCATGTCGCGCCGCAGTCACTTGTTTGAGAAGTATCTCATCACAACACCCTGCGCAGGCATGGACGAATACAGGAGTATGAAGGGCAACCTTTCAGGGAAATTCGGGTTTAAAGTAAACTCCGCGGGCGAAGTTTTTGACTTAAAGAAAGTTCACTGCCTCATCTGCAAAAAAGCTTTCGCATATAGCGGAAGTGTAAGATCGCTTCAATACCATCTCAGAGCTAAGCACCCAAGCATCTCGCTGCAACAAGAATCATCTGCAAAAAAGCAGACGACTATCGACGTTTTCTCTTCGAGGCCGGTTTCTCTGAAGAAAGAAGAAACTATTGCACAAGCCCTTACATCTTGGCTTGTTTCTTCTAGCCGGCCTCTCAACATTGTGGAAGATAACGGACTAGCGAAAGTTCTTCAGATTGCCTTGGATTCTCCGTCTTACCAGCCGCCGTCCCGTCGTGCAGTGAGTGCCAAGGTGGATGCCCTGTATACCTCGAGACGGGAGCGTCTTCAAGCAGAACTCTCGGCAGCCAGCTTCATCAGCTTAACAGCGGACTTCTGGACCTCCATCGCCAATGACGCCTACCTCGGGATAACGGCGCATTGGATCGACGACGACTGGATGCTTCGATCGGCAACATTGCAGGTGAGAAACGTACCTGAGCGCCATACAGCGGAACAATGTGCCAGTGAGGTATTGGAGACTGCTACAGATTGGGGAATCGTTGAAAAGGTAAAAGCTGTCTGTACCGATAACGCCCGCAACATCTGTCTTGGGGTGGAGAGAGCAAACTTTCAGAGTCTGAAGTGCGCAGCTCACACGCTTCAGCTGTGCGTCCACAAGGCGCTCAGCGTGACGGGTGTGGAGCGACTGCTAGCCGCCTGTCGTCGTACTGTGGGTCACTTTAAGCACAGTTCGAACAACCAGGCCGTCCTTTCAAAACATGCCGCTGAACTCGGAGCACCTAAGAAGAAGCTTCAGCAGGACATCGCAACACGGTGGAACAGCACGTACATAATGATAACCAGCCTGCTTGAACTGAAGGAGCCTTTGCGCCGCTCCATGGAGGACAGCAGTACCATTAAATCGTCGATTCCCCACCTCACAGACGTCGATTGGGACATGTTGGAGCAGCTTCGGGAAGTTTTGAAGCCCCTGCTCGACATTACGGAGCTCCTTGGAGGGGACAAGTACGTTACTCGGTCTGTACTTATTCCAGCCTTAAAACTGCTAAAGAATAAAATGAAGACGAATGACTGTGACCCTGCCTTTATCTGCCGCTTCAAGGCCATGCTAGTGGACTCTATCGATGAGAGGCTTCGCGCGTGGCCGCAATACAACGACTATGAACTGGCAACGTGTCTCGATCCTCGTTTCAAGAGCCTCGCATGCATCGAAAAAGATCGCCGCGAACTTGTGTGGGAAAGGCTTTCCCAGCTAACACATGCGTCTTCGGACGATTCTACTGATCTAACGCCCAAGAAAAAAAGAAAATACGTTTTCACGGAGGAAAATGAAGAACCCACCATCTCCTGCCAAGTGTCGCTTTATCGATCGATGGCCGAGGTGACGGACGATGAACTGGACCCACTACAGTGGTGGCGAGCTCAGGGCTCCCTGTTTCCTCAAATTGTGCCAATTGTGAAGAGTGTGATGTGTGTCCCAGTCACCTCAACGCCCTGCGAGCGTCTGTTCAGCGCAGCAGGGATGATCGTCAACAAACAAAGAAACTCGCTCCTGCCGGAAAATGTCAACAAACTTCTTTGCCTCCGCAGCTGGGGTTGTGATCTGTGAGTGCGTTACATCAACGTTTATTCTCAATTAAGTTTGTATATATGCGCCGTTTATCATACAATAAAACAAATTGTAAGGACAAAATGTCTACTTTTGCTTTTTACTAAAGTCAACCGATTAATCGATTAATTAATCGATTAAAGGGTAGCGATTAATCGGGTTAAAATTTTTAATCGACGCCCAGCCCTAATTCGAAGCCATTATATGTATGTCAGTCTCAGCGCTGCGGCAAGTGCTCAGGCCAAATTGTGTGACTCTGCGGTAAAACATCTGGTCTCCAGACGTGCGCGTAGACGCCTTTTATTATTATTTATTTTCTGAAACAATGTTTGGGAACCGGTAACCTCCAGGGGAACCTGATTTTTGCAAAGTACACGGTATTCACGGGGACCTTTTGTGATGTCCACCGCCGCACCAACCCACTGCACCGTTTACACGGTGATGTCGCTGAGTGAATCTGGATTGAGGAGGGTGAGTTCTTGTCTTGTAGGTTTTTGGGAATGTTTACCGATTGACGCTTTTACATTTCTTAGGAACTGAAACCTTCAAAACGTTAGAATGGAAAGTGCTCTCCAGAGACCCGGACGCCATTTCCCTTACTGTCCTTTGGAACATAAAAAATAGTTTTCTTTGAAACTTGTTGGTTGCTTAATCGTTCCATAAGTCAGTTCTGAAATACATTTTGTACATATTTATGTGGTCGGAGGACTTCAATTTTGAGTTATAAAGTTAGGCAAGATGGTGTTCATAAAATGTTTTAGCTCAAATGTGCAATGTTCCAGCCCTGATGAGTTCTATCAAAAGCAAAAGTGTTGAAACTTGACAAACATGGGTTTCCCTGCTGGATGGTTCCCAAGACGTCTGAAATGTGGCATAACTATAAACACTTGGTAGTTATATGAACGTCAGCACGCTTTCAAAAAAGTAAGAAATATACAAAAGGGGCACCCTAATGAATGGACAATATAAATTGCAGGAAACCATGTCAGCTAGGGAGGGGCCATGATCCTTCAAGCTCATTGGCGGGTAGATAAATGCACGAGATACGCGAAAATATTTCCTTTGCCGCTTGCTTCCTAGCAGGCGTACTGTCACGCCATATAACGTAGTGTTGAGGACAAAGCTGGAGTCCACGAGATCAATCACATCGATTAGAGACATTACTGTTGAAGACAGAGAATTAAAAAAGATGCTCTACCGTCAACGTAGAAATTTGAACGCAGAAATTTGAATGTCTTGCGAGATCATGAGACATTGATCGCAGTGCAGCAGTTACAGACATAAAGCATGTCTACGCGGCGCAACCGAAACCGAAACCATTTCGCATACGAATAGCATTAAAGGTGAGCTCTATCGTGAATTTAGACTTTTAGACTATTTAAAGGTCTTGCAAGGTCATGGAAAATTGATGCTAGAGGAACAGTGGTATTTTCAAAATATATTTATGCGACAAAACCGAAACCATTCTGGAACCGGACAGGTCGCGGCCCCATTCTCGCGCGGACAGCTCGATTTTATTTCACACGGCGACAGGACATCGTTTGTCTGCAGTCCGAGGGCTGTTTCAACCAACCGCACAACAAGAGTCCCCTGAAATCCACGAAGACCTAGTCTAACAAAGCAACCAAGTGTAAAAGAATAAAACAAAAACAAAAAGTTACAGTACAGCAGTCCGGAGGCACCGCAACCGGGCTCATTACCTGATGTTACGTTAGAGCTTCCACAGTTGCCACCGTTGCTGTTTTTGCCATTTTTGTTGCCGTTTAGTGTTTACGCGTTTTGGGAAAACTTTAAAATCCAATTTCTTGCGTGTAGGAGGATGTAAAATTCGGATATTTCGCGGGTGGTCTACCTAAATATAGTTAAAACAAGATTTAATTGTTTTCTCGAAAACAAAAATTGACCGGACAGTCTTTTCAATGGCGTCTCCGTTGTAGATGAGAAATTTCACCAGTGCAGTATCAGTGCAAGCCCAAAGTTTCTAACGTGCATTACGCTTTAGTGATTGTGCACGGCCGCACCAGGTACAGTGCTTATTCAGATTGAAACGGAAAGAGGTGAAGAATTGATCTCAATATCCCTGGGTTCTGCAGTACAAGCTTTTGTACACGTGCACCGAGCTTCGGTAGTTTAGCACACTGAGCCGCCCATTTCAAAGAAGCAAAAAAAGAATTGATATCTTGCATGAAACGTACTGCACACTTCAAGCATGCTTTACAATACAAGTTAATTAGTTTCCTTGCACACAGCACTGAAGTGTAAAATTTCTACGCAACACAAAGAGTTCAAAAATGGCGTTTACTAGACGTTCAATAACTTAATATTGCGTAAATAATCTAACATTGGCAGTAATTGAATAATAAGCACATATGGCATCACTGTAACTTATTTTATAAATTTGTTCTAGTTTTTAACGCATTAAATTTGTTTCATCTCCCTATTACGGCGGGTTAATACAGGCAAAGATATACAAGATGGTGGCATGGAGCACCAAAACAGAAATTGCCGACAAGCATTGTTTTGTTAAGATGTAACTCTCTGCCTGTAAACGAACGAAAACTCCGTTTACGGCGACGGTTAAACGGCGTTTTGTGAGGCTAACGGCACTGTGGTGGGCACGACATTCCAGAAATAAGCATGCTTCAGCGATGATTATAGGATGTTAAAATTGCCTAACACTCATCTTCAATCTTGACTGTTTTAGGTGAACGATAAAATAGAGCAAAATTTAAGCAATCAGGAGCTGTCAAGTTGCTGTTGATTATAACGCCTCTAAGTGAAGTCTCCATGAATGCATTAAGCACATGCCGCACAGCGGTGAAAACCCTAGCTTGTCCCAAGCTTGGCATTCCTATGCGCCCAACCTGCGTCGAATAAGGTTCTTCTCTAAAGTGTTAATTACGGCCAAAGTACTTTTTTTTTCGCCAGGCAGCCGGTGAAATGTCACGTGTAGCTTTACTGTTCATCGCCACATAGTTGCCCAAATGCCAGATATATAAGCCAAAAATGCCATGCGACAACCCAACAACCAGCAATGAAACTTGATTCTGATATTTTCTAGGGAGTTGTAGCCTGAAAAGTCCAGATGGCAACTGAAAAACTGAAATGTATGGCCTCACTCTAGTGGGCGTTTGGCAATTTAGGCACAAAGTTGCCAGGTAACATTTCCGAACAACCAGAGGTGAGGCCTAACTATGACGCTTCGGCAGTTTGGACCCAACATATTCAAATTCTGACCAAAGAGTACCAAGTTTGGCAATACCTTGTATTGAGACTTGTTGTTGTTTTGTCCGTTTTTTTATTTTTTCGTGTCTCCGGTTTACGATGGCAATACCTTGTATCATATCTTTCAGAGTCCTAAATTGCCAAACACAAAACAAATTTAAGTCCAAAGAACTCAGCCACTTGGTACTATATTGATATTGCGCATCAATCCTCGAAAGCAAAAGGATATTTTGCAAGCTTCTTTTTTAGAATATAATTTTTTTGCAGGTTACCGATAAATCTTCTGCAAACATTTACAAAGCGTGCACTGTTTTAAGACATGTCAACCTGTGTTTCAGTTGTAGAGGGACGCTATTTACGTACTAATTGTATCCGACGACTAATCTCCGGACTCCACACCATGCGTTTTTCTCGTGCGAACCCTTAAGCCGGGGTCACGCTGCTCATGCATCATAAAAAAGACAGTCTGAAAACACGAGTCACCGTTATATCTATGGTTCGAATGCCGCGTGCCAGGTGTTGTCCTCGAACGCATTGACATGCTGCATTCGAAGCACGCATTTTGTGATGACTCGTTTTCGAATCTGTATGCAGCCTCTTTTGTATGATTTATTGGCGACGTGAGCGATCGAAAGCGACGCTGCGATCGGTCTTCGACGATAGGCCGAATGCTGACTTTGACGTCAGCAAAGTATTTCCCATAGACGGAAATAAGGGGAATGGAAAAGCTTCAATTTTGACGGTGTTGGCAGTGTTGCTTTGAGAGTGCTATGACTTCAAGCTTCCACCATGCTCTTTACAAGCACCTCCAAACTTGTTGTTCATAAGGTAATGACGTCACGAAAGGTAACCATAGGAGGGTGCCACCAAAACATCTCGCCGCCAATAAGCAGTGTGACCCAGACTATAGTTCTCTTCAGTTGTGTAATAAAATTTCTTTAAAAAAGCGTAACATTTACACGAGACTTATCCTTCACCGTAGGTTTAAATGTCTTTTTAACATGACCTAAATGTGTCGAGCTCGTCGCATCACAACCTTCGTTGCTGCTGCGCCGCTAAACCTCTCATCATTATCGTTAATAGCCAACAGTCTAGCGAAAACTTTAGCCTATAAAACAGAAATAGAGCGGGACGTACTGTCGAAGGTAATCCATCCAGGTGTCTTGCTCCATGATTAGAAACCAATATTGCAGAAACTCCGTAGTGAATGGCTTCCTCTGCGTCTTCGTCTGGGTAAGATAAAAATATTTCTCGAATGAACAAAATCATTTAAAAATAGTTCAGAAGTAATCATGTTGTAGCGGAATATATTGACCAATTTAATCTTCAAAATAACTCATTTACTTAAATATTTATGCGACAATAAAAAGCTCTGGCGAAGGGCCAGTCATTGCCTGCCTTCTGCTTTGCCTCAGACTGTAATAGTAAGGCATGTCTACGAGGTTAATGCTGCGTCTTGCAAAATTGAGTGCAGTTTTTGGCTTCCATAGCATCTCATAAAAGTATAAGTCTATGGTAAAATTATATTTATTATGATAACTTTGAGCAGATTTACAGTTCCTAATTTACTAACAGCAAACTTAGTGAAATCCCTTGGCGTGTGTCTGCGGCTGCCTTCTCCGGAGTGGATTCCCTGCCGCTGCACTCAAGAAACCACCTATAAGTTCACTTTTCTACAAAACTCGAAGGCATCCAACCACAGCGAGCAATTACAAGGATCCTAGAGAATTACAAAACTTAGAATACTATGCTTTGTTTCAGCTTAGGTCCGAGCGCGGCCGATGTTATGAGCCGAAGGGCCAATCAAACAGCGAAAGAGGCACAACGTTATGGCATGCACTCTGCAGTTGATAGGACCAGCCGCTATTCGCCGTCTCTCTGTGC